TGCAGTGCAGCAATGCTTGCACCTGGACAAACCTCTCCTCAAGCTACGAAATACAAAGAAACTATAAGGGACTAAAAAGAACTGTGTGCATGAGCGACTGGGGCAAATGCTGGACAGAAGATACAAAAAGACCAAAAACCCCAGCTGTCACTTCTGAGGATCTGGGAGCAGAAGCAGGGCACTGCGCGTGCCCCCTGCACAGGCCGCCACCAAGGGGTGGGCAGGCCACCCAAGACCCCCCTCCGGCCAGACCCCTGGACACACCCCTCCCCTCCCCCCATGTAAGGAACCAGCTCGCGGCCCCTCAGGGAGCGAGCAAGCAAGGGAACCTGTTGCTTGTTCTCACTCCCCCTGCTGCAGCAGGGGCCCCAATAAAGCCTTGCCTGAATTTCTTGTCTGGCCTCTGATCAATTTCTATTGATTAAGGACCCTGGTCTGTAACATACTCCAGGTCCAGGTACCAGAAAACTAAAGATAGTCCCTATGCCCCAGAGCCCGCTGAAGTTATTCCAACTAGCCAATCCTAAGCCTGCTCATCCTTCCTTACCCTTTTTTCTCCCCCACAGAAACCACAGCAACAGCTCTTGCCCGCAGTTCCCTCTCTCCCTCTGCCTCCTAACTGACCCTGGGTCTTCCCCATATGGACCCCCATGGCACAGCATGCCCCCTCCTACTGCAACGATGAGTAATAAACTAGCTTTTCAATGGCAGTCATTTCCTGATCTCTTGGTCTTACTATGCCTCAAATTTTCTATTAATACACTGTATGTTTTCTATTAATACATTATAGGTTAAAATGGTTCTCATGCTGTTTCCTCAGAAGAGGTTGCTGAGTCATCTCAGGGCATACCCCCACCTCACCTTTTTGCCTTCAAGTCCATGAAAAGTTAGATATTCATAGACTAGACTGGGAAGTTCATGGCATGCCTCAAGAGGAGGTAGTTTATACTCTAAATATGTTATAGGATGTCACTGATTTCCATTGGCAGCAGTTTGGGAAACACTTTATGAGTGGACCCTAGATATTAAGCCAGAAAGGATAAAATATGAACATTGACTGGGATGAATCTATTGATAGATTTACAGTATTGAATTGAGTGCCTGGGAATGGTGTTAGTAGCAGATCTTTAAACTTCCAAATTCCCCTGAACCTACCTTGCCATCCTCTCTTAATATCTTGGCTGACAGTTGAACTCAACAGTAGCCTACAGTCACTAGGGATCAAATACCAGAACCTCATCAGTTTAGAGTGAATGTTAGATTGATTCTGTTATGTATAAAATGCTCACCTACCTATAAAAATCTTCTCCACAATTGCCCAAAGGAGATTCCATTTGTTAAGCTGTTAAGAAACGTATTGGTGAGAGGGGCACCACCATGTAAAGCTCTGTAGTGGTTGTTTCCAGTAAGCCAGAGCTAACAATGAGGGATTCTGCAATAAAATTGGACTCCATCATCTCAACAGGGATAATAGGATCCTAGAGGTGCACAGAGCACGTGGCAAAGTTGATTTGTCATAGATCATGTGAGTGCATCGAGAATAATAAGCCACTGAGTTGGGTGATAATCTTATTTTTGAGAGACAGAGGTCTGTGCCAATGGTTAACTGATCATGAAGTCACCAGGAGTGAAACAGATTGGTGGCCTAGAAATGTTTTTTGTATTAAAGTGGAAAATTCTAGGGCTAGTGGAGAAACCTGATTCAAGTGCAGTAGGGAACTTACGGCAGACACATCTTCTGATTATTTTCCAACATCTGGCCATTTAGTGGGGATAGATATACTTAGTTACTGGCAGAATACTTACACAGGTTCTATGGTCTGTACAGTGAAGGTTATTATGACAGAAAAGGCCAAGTGAAAGCCCTTGGATATTCCCACTCCTGCCAAGAGGGTAAATAAAAAGCCAAGTCAATCTGGGACATTTGCAGAGACTAATACCAACTACACATATTTCAAATATGTAGGGATAGCAATTCCTACCACATTCTCATTAATTGCCTGTTAACCAGTGAAAAAGAGAATGAGCTCATAGAGAAAAACTACAGATTATCACAAAATTAATCAGTGGTGATGACAATCACAGTTCAGTTGCTGAAGTCAGTGCCTTTACTATGGTCAATCAACACAGTCTCTTGTGTGCATTCCCATTCCTATTAAAAAAATTAACCTGAAGCATTTTTACCTTCACCAGCAATGATATCTGTATACCCTTACTCCTCTGACTTAGGGCTATGTCATAATAAATTTGAAAGATCTCTTGCGTATGCCGGTATCTCATTACTCTTATTCTATATTGATGACAGTATTCTAATTGAATCTGATGGTGAGAAATTAATTAGCCTTCAAAATGCTATAGTGAGATACAGCTAAATCTTGCAAAATTTCAGGGATTCGCCACCTCAGAGAAGTTTCCATCGTGTTTCCTCAGCATAGAGAATATCTCAGAATATCCTCTTTAAAGTGAAAGCAAGTTGCTACACCTTACACTGCCCACGATGAGAAAGAAGCTCAATGGTTGTTGGGACTCTCTGGATTTTGAGACAGCAACTATCATATATATGTGTGCTTCTCTAACCCATTACTGGATAACCATAAATCTGCCAGTTTTGAATGTACCTACAATAAGAAAAGACTTTGCAGTGGGGAAAAGATGCCCTGCAATTTAGATTCAGTCAGCAGAGCTGATAGTATCAGAAGTGTTTATCGCAGACAGAGATGCTCTAAGGAGCCCTTGGAAAGCCTCAGCAGGAGAATCAGCACACATCCCTCAGTAAGTCCTGGCCTTTTCAGTAACTAACTCTCCATTCAAAAAGCACTCTGTGATCTGGTACTGGTCGCTTGTAGCAACAAAATATTGGACCACGGGATCACAAGTAATCATGCATCCCTGCCTGCACATCATCAACAGGATGTAGCTGACCTACTGAATCGTGAAGTTGGATGAGTTCAGTAGCACACCACTGTGTAATGGAAAAGGGGTTCATGAGACCGGACCTGAACAGGTCTGGAATGTCCATACAGACAAGCTGCAGAAGAATTAGGCTCAGCTGCACATGATTTCACTGCTTTACCACCTCTCTCTCTCAAACGACATCTATGATTTCTGTGACCATACACAGCTAACAACCAAACGAGGATACTTTTAAGAGCAAAAAGTGGCACTATTAATAATTAAGATGGGACAGCGGGTATAAGTCAAGAGTGTCCTGAGCAAACCGCAATCTTTTATCACCCTGTTTATGACCATTTGACAAAGAAAGAAATGTATGGACTTGCTTAGAGTAATATGCATCATATTCAAGAAATCATCAGAATTGGACAGTTGCTGCATTATGATCCCATTAGGAATGTACTTAGAAGGCCACAGAGCAGGGATGTCCCTCTAGTCCGCAGACTTCTGCAGTGTGGAGGAACATCACTTCATAAACAAGGAGAGATAACGGGATACAGATCTGTGCTGATTCACGGGCAATGGCTAATGGGTCAGCTGGCTAATGGGTCAGCTGGCTAATGAGGGACTTGGAAAGAACAAAATTAGAAGACTAGCAACAAATTTGGAGCTGAGGTGTGGACCTCTCGAAACAAGCAAAGAGTGTAAAAATATTTCTGACGCCTATAACTGCCTACCAGTGGACTGCACTATGAATGATACGAGCCTGTGAACTTCCCTGTGACTGTCAGCCATCCAGGTGCTTTCTCAAGGGGCCTATTTACAAAGTGGATATTGTCAGTGGGATGAGGGCTATGCATGGATTGAACATGAGCTATTTCCTCTCCCAGGTTTATTTGGCTACTGCTATTATGCTCAACCTGCCAAAAGTAAATGCCAATGTTTCACTCCCAATGAAGTTTCATTCCCTGGGGGTACTAACTGGCCACCCGGTGACACAATGATTAGCTTTGATCCCTTATATCATGTGTATTCGATAGATTCTGTTACAGTAAAAATCAATCTCAACCTACCAGGGGCTTAAAATACTAGTAACAGCAGCAAAAACTATTTCTTGTTTGTGTTACTTGTGTTGGCTGTGGGTCTGCTCCATTTGGCTTCTACCTCATTGTTGTAATCTGGGACCCATGGTGAAGGAACAACTCCAATTTGGAATATCCTGCTACTGTGACAGAGGGCAAAATCAGAAGAGGCTGAAACAAATCAATGACATAATTCACTAAAAGTCTCTATTCTCTGTGTGCAAATGCCATAAATCGCATCCACTCATTTTCTTTTGACCAAAACAATTCACAAGATTAACCTCGGCAATGAGAGCAGGAAAACATACTCCATATACCATTTACAAGGCAAATGGAAAAATCACAAAAGCAAAGAGCACTGGAATATAATCCTCTTATGAGGAAAAGAGCCGATATTTGTGACAATAATGCAAATTTCCACAAAACAAGAGGCAGCTATTCCACCTCACCCTGTACATACACACAGAAGCAGACATATATTCAGAAACATATTCATCTCTATCCGTAATTCCTCTTCTAGGACTACCATATATGGGATTACAGAATGCCTTATCAATTGCCATGGTATTCCACACAAAATACCCTTTGATCAAGAGACGTATGTTACAGCAATGCAAAGATGGCACAGAGAATTCATAGGTCTTAGCACATCTTTCATCACCATAACATGGTTGAAAGCATATTCAACAGTCCACGAGATTGGGATATCAATCAAAAAGATGTACTACTATAAGCCTCAAATCAGTGGGCAATATATGGTGCACAGATATCTGCCATAGATGGGATGCGTGTGTTTAAGAGCCAACAAGTAGAACTGGGAGTGATTTCTCTCACTATTAAAATCATTACCCATTGGAGGGATTTTAGCTCCCCATCTCCATTAGTATGGGCTCTCTGGGTATTTAGATTTCTGTACTCACAAAAGGAATACTTCCAGCAGGACACATCATCATGATTTCACTAAATCAGAAGGTGAGACTGCACTCTGATAGTTTATGTTCACTCATATTTCTTTTGATCTCACAGGCAGAGAGGGGATAATCCTGTTACCTGAAGTAGCTGATCCTGATTTCCAAGGAAAAAATGTCCTGCTACAACACAGTGGAGAAGAGACAGACAATCTCAGGAACACAAGTGATTCACGATTCATGGAGGCTCCCCTCAGGACTGCCTTGATCAACAGTTCAGGTCAGTGGGAAAGTGCAGGAGGATAACCAAGACTCAGATCCTGTAGGCCTAAGAACTGGGAAACTCCACCAGATAAATAATGTCTTTCAGTGGGGTGTAGTCAAAGGTTAGGGTCACATAAATTATGGTAGAAGAAGGCACCTGTGATTTCCAACTTAGACCTCATGACTAGTAATGAAATGAGGATGACAGTATCTATGTTCATGGTCATTTTTTCTTTTCTTTCCTATTTCTGGTAGCAGCTAGTATTTCACATTCCATGTAACTTTTAGAACTTTGTGTGTCCTTTGTATTAAGGACATACGTTTTTCTCTGGAGAAATGTTAAAAGTGGATGCCAAAAGAAAAAGGGATGAATTGCGCTGGATGTCTTTCATTTGCCCCTTCCAATATATTCTCCATTCCTTTCAACCCTAGTCTGTGACAAGACAGAACTATATGAACTGCACAACTGACAGGTAAATAGATTTATAAAGGTAAGCACAGAGGGTGAAGGTCCTGTTACTACATGTGAACACTCACCAGTGAGCATCCACCACAAAAGAAGCATTTAATAATTCAACAGACAAAATGACTCGGCCAACTGATGTCAGCCAGCCTCTGTCATCAGTCATGGCCAGTGTTGGCAAATCGCTCTTAAATGGGGTGGCACAGTGTAGTGATGTAGCTGGAGGCTAGGCATGGGCTCAACAGTACCAGCTTGCTCACCAAGGCTACTACAAGTGCCACTGCCAAACGTCCAAACTTCTAGCAACTCGAATCCATTCTGGGACCTCAAATAAGACACCAACCCTGGAGACCAGCTGGAGTAGTGATTATAGTTTGTCTTACTAACCTTCCTCTTCTTAGTTTCCCCAAAGGAAGAGACCAACCATTATCCCAAAGAGCTGTTCCCAGATAAGATGAACTCACTATATGAGTGAAAAAAGGGGTTGGAAAGTAGTGGAAGCTAGGGTGCACCTCCCAGATGCCACCTTTAGAACTAAACCAGTTATTTCCTCAGCTGCTGGAGTATTGGCTGATGGCAAACAGTTAATTCCCTCTCCAGGAATGATTTCGGCCAAGGGGTGACAACTCATCATTTATGACTGCTGAATATCGCACTACAAAACCTGGACCCTTGACTCAATTCGGAGTGGCCATCCCACTTCCAGATCTTCCCAGAGGAGTAGCTGTGGAGCCCTTCACAACTACATTGCAATTCAACTGCTCCCTGTGCCCCATCCTGATTCTTGCACTTACTTAGAGTATATATTTGAAAGGACTCCTCAGTAAACTCCTGCTCACAAGTCTGCTTCTCAGAGTTTGTTTCCTGGAGAAATCCTAATCAGTCTAAAGCAGATGTTTAAATGAACAAATGATTGTTCTCTATTAAGATGATCTTTTCCTTATTCTAAGTCAGTCAGTTAGCCAATGAAATGTGTGTGGAAGTGAATGGATATGATTTTTGGCAGGAGCTTTACAGGCAAATGCACAATTCAGTACGTCCCCTTTCGTTCTTCCACATCAACCACTGATGTTCAAGATACTGGGAGATTTATCGTCTTGTCCAGATTGAGGGCAACACGAAGTAGAACTTCCCTATCAATTTGCAGTAAACATGTAACATAAATGAAAATCAAACCTCTGTTCTTTGATGTCCTTGAAATTTTGACATTGTTATTTTAGTGTCATCGAGTCAAAGATGACTGGGAACAACCGCAGTCACATGAAGTTGGGGTTTGGGGTACTCGTTGTAACAAAGGAGACCACAGCACAATGGAGAACTGTAGGAATGTCAGTACAGGGGTTTAGAAGAGACTTGTTCACAGGATTTGGACTGATGTTATATAATTTGGGGGAGGTTTCAAGTAAGCAAGCAGCTTTTGCTCTTGACTGGGTATCCTTAGTAAGCAGGGGACAATTCTATGATTCTCTCAATACTTTTTTATTTAGAAGGCAAGAAGAATGGAGGACAGCTATAGTTGATAAAGAAGCAGCAGTTACATAGCTAGCAGAGTGAAGGGGATGTTTGGGTATGATCATGGTTTACACAGAGTTCTTTTTTTTTTTCCCCCTGTGCTCAGAGTTGGTTACAGAGTTGTCTTGGCTTTGCCTTGCTTTATCATGGTTAGAATAACCTTGTCTGACATGGGTGTTCTGTGAAATTGTTTATGTCTGGCAAGAGAACACTACTACATCCTAGGTGTTAGAGCCAGGCCAGCTTCCTGCTAAGAGCAGTCATGGGATATTTTTAACCTTTTCTTCTTCCAGTTCCCCTCTTTTATCTAAAGCCAAAGTCAGAAGAGAGGACATTAGTCCAAGATACCCACATCTTCACCACTGCTGAAATTTTACTGTTGAGGAGGTTGCCCGGATAACACGTCTGTTTTTGCCTGGAGTTATTAGTCCCTTCTGCTCCCATGCTACACGATAAGTTGTCTAATTAAGACTTGACAAGGGCTGTGCAACTGAATTTAAAGCTCAAGATAGGATGCATGGGCTAACTGCAACACAGGTAGGTACCAGAAATAAAATGGTTATGTTAGTTCTTGTAAAAAGCCCCAAAGTGAGGGAATTAGATTGTCAAAAAAGGCAGTGAGAACAAGTGTTAAAATCCAGCTGAGACTCTTGTAGAGGTGGATTGTTTCTTGAGCCCAGTCATGGACTATTCTATTTGACATACATTATTTAAACAGGTTTAGCAAGAAGGGTTTGCTACAGCACAACCTCCCTCTCCCTGACTACACCAAGAGGCAATCGTGTGATTATAAGGAAACTTGTGATTATATAGGGTCTACTCAGATAATTTGGGAGAGCTTTGGGGTTCCCTAGACCTATAGTTTGTAATAAAAATTAGGGGAAAAATACACAGTGGAAGCAGAAAACAACACAATGACAAGAGAAAAATTAATAGGTGAATTAAAAGAAAAACTTGAAAAAATCCACAGAATTCATTAAAAAGGGACAGAAAACTAAAGATATGGGAGATCGGTTCAAGATGGCAGAGTAGAAGGACGTGCTCTCACTCCCTCTTGCAAGAGCACCAGAATCACAACTAACTGCTGAACAATCACCAACAGGAAGACACTGGAACTCACCAAAAAAGACACCCCACATCCAAAGACAAAGGAGAAGCCACAATGAGATGGTAGGAGGGGCACAATCACAATAATATCACATCCCGTAACTGCTGGGTGGGTGACACACAAACTGGAGAACACTTATACCACAGAAGTCCACCCACTGGAGTGAAGATTCTGAGCCCCACGTCAGGCTTCCCAACCTGGGGGACAGGCAACGGGAGGAGGAATTCCTAGAGAATCAGACTTTGAAGGCTAGCGGGATTTGATTGCAGGACTTCAACAGGACTGGGGAAAATAGAGACTTCACTCCTGGAGGGCACATACAAAGTAGTGTGCACATCAGGACCGAGGAGAAGGAGCAGTGACCCCATAAGAGACTGAACCAGACCGACCTGCTAGTGTTGGAGGGTCTCCTGCAGAGGCGGGGGATGGCTGTGTCTCACTGTGAGGACAAGGCAGCAGAAGTTCTGGGAAGTATTCCTTGGCATGAGCCCTCCCAGAGTCTGCCATTAGCCCCACCAAAGAGCTCAGGTAGGCTCCAGCATTGGGTCGCTACAGGCCAAAGAACCAACAGGGCGGGAACCCAGCCCCACCCATCAGCAGACAAGTGGATTAAAGTTTTACTGAGCTCTACCCACCACCAGTCCCTCCCATCAGGAAACTTGCACAAGCTTCTTAGATAGCCTCATCCACCAGAGGGCAGACAGCAGAAGCAAGAAGAACTACAATCCTGCAGCCTGTGGAACAAAAAAACACATTCACAGAAAGACAGACAAGATGAAAAGGCAGAGGGCTAGGTACCAGATGAAGGAACAAGATAAAACCCCAGAAAAACAACTAAATAACATGGAGATAGGAAACTTTCCAGAAAAAGAATTCAGAATAATGATAATGAAGATGATCCGGGACCACTGAAAAAGAAGGGAGGCAAAGAACGAGAAGATGCAAGAAATGTTTAAAAAAGACCTAGAAGAATTAAAGAACAAACAGAGATGAATAATACAATAATTGAAATGAAAAACAGACTAGAAAGAAGCAATAGCAGAATAACTGAGGCAGAAGAACAGATAAGTGACCTGAAAGACAGAATGGTGGAATTCACTGCTGTGAAACAGAATAAAGAAAAAAGAATGAAAAGAAATGAAGGCAGCCTAAGGGACCTCTGGGACATTAAAGGCAACAACATTCGCATTATATGGGTCCCAGAAGGAGAAGAGAGAGAGAAGGGACCCAAGAAAATATTTGAAGAGATTATAGTTGAAAACTCCCCTAACATGGGAAAGGAAATAGCCACCCAAGTCCAGGAAACGCAGAGAGTCCCATAGAGGATAAACCCAAGGAAAAACATGCTGAGACACACAGTAATCAGAGGGGCAAAAGTTAAAGACAGAGAAAAATTACTGAAAGCAGCAAGGGAAAAACAACAAATAACATACAAGAGAACTCCCATAAGGTTAACAGCTGATTTCTCAGCAGAAACTCTACAAGCCAGAAGGGAGTGGCATGACATATTTAAAATGATGACAGGGAAGAACCCACAAGCAAGATTACTCTACCCAGCAAGGATCTCATTCAGATTTGATGGAGAAATCAAAAGCTTTACAGACAAGCAAAAGCTAAGAGAATTCAGCACCACTAAACCAGCTCTACAACAGACGCTAAAGGAACTTCTCTAAGTGGGAAAAACAAGAGAAGAAAAGGACCTACAAAAACAAACCCAAAACAATTAAGGAAATGGTAACAGGAACATACATATCAATAACTACCTTAAACGTGAATGAATTAAATGCACCAAACAAAATACACAGGCTCGCTGAATGGATACAAAAACAAGACCCATATATATGCTGTCTACAAGAGATCCACTTCAGACCTAGGGACACATACACACTGAAAGTGAGGGGATGGAAAAAGATATTCCAGGCAAATGGA